CAGGCTCATTGGAGATTGGTACCGGGCAAGGAGAATCCTGCAGACTGTGCATCTCGAGGTCTATCAGCGCACCAACTGGTATGTCGTAAGCTCTGGTGGAAAGGGCCACCATGGCTTCATCAAGACTGCTCATCATGGCCAACTCACGCTCTGGAAAAAGACCTCAGCGCAGACCTCGAGGAAAAGCCAGGAGTTCTCCTACATGTAAAAGCTCATCCAATCGCGCTCTGGAATCTCGTCGACAGATTCTCATCGTTCAACCGACTGCTCAGGGTCACAGCAATCTGTCGACGATTCATAGCTCGGCTCAGGAAAACCCCCAACTCTTCTCTTCGATACCTGCTCACTCTTAGTGATCTTGAAGAGGCTCGCATCCTCTGGATCAAACTTACGCAGGCAGCTCACTTCAAGGATCAACTCAGAGCGATCTCACGAGGGGAAAGGTTCAGCAAATCCCACCCCCTCACCAAGCTCACACCCTTCATCGATCGCCAAGGGGTATTGAGGATAGGAGGACGGCTCAAGTTTGCTCACATAGGCCCGGAGAGCCGGAACCAAGTGATTATTCCGAAGGAATCTCAACTGGCTCAGCTACTCATCGGACAGGCTCATCTAAGGACACTCCACGGAGGCACACAGCTCACCCTCAGGCAGCTCAGAAGTAGCTACTGGATACTCGGAGGTCGAGCACCAGTACGCTCCTTCATCCTCAAGTGCGTTAACTGCACTCGCCAACGTGGAGTACGCGCTCAACAGCTCATGGGCCAGTTGCCACCAGCCAGACTCACTCCCGCTCGAGCCTTTCTCAACACTGGGATCGACTATGCCGGCCCAGTGTCTCTACGGTCCTGGAAAGGGCGGGGACACAAGTCGTACAAAGGCTGGTTGGCTATCTTTGTCTGCATGACCACCTCAGCGGTCCATCTCGAGGTCGTGTCAGACTACTCAGCCGAGGGGTTCATCGCGGCGTATAGACGCTTTTCAAGTCGGCGTGGGATCGCTCATTCCTTGTTCAGTGACTGTGGGACCAATTTCCTTGGCGCTGACAAGGAACTAAAGAAGCTCTTCTCGTCAGGATCAGCTCAATCAAGACAGCTCGCACAGCTCCTCATCAATGATGGGACTCAGTGGTCCTTCAATCCTCCAGGTGCTCCGCACTTTGGAGGGAAATGGGAAGCGGCGGTGAAGTCGGTGAAGTTCCATCTCACCCGGACGATCGGAGAGGATCTGCTCACTTTTGAGGAACTCACCACTTTGCTCGCTCAAATCGAGGCAGTGCTCAACTCACGACCACTGGAACCGCTCACGGATGATCCTGATGACTGTTCAGCCTTGACACCAGGGCATTTTCTCATCGGTCAGGCTCCCACAACTCTTCCAGAGCCATCTTTAGAGCAACTCAACGTCTCAAGGCTCTCTAGATGGCAGCTCATTCAGCAGAAGCTTCAAGGATTCTGGAAGAGGTGGTCCACGGGATATCTCCAACGTCTTCAAGCGATATCCAAGTGGCACCATCCGACTCATCAGATACGGATCGGCTCACTGGTTCTACTCACGGACGAGAGATTCCCGCCAGCGAAGTGGCCTCTCGCCCGAGTGACCGCTCTGCACCCAGGATCGGACGGACTCACCAGGGTAGTCACCATCAGGACTGCTCAGACGACGCTGACAAGGCCAATCGCCAAGCTCGTCCTCTTGCCCATCTCACCTTCAGGGGAATAGAACCAGGACAGCTCACCGGCTTCTCACCGTTGGACTTCGTCAACTTCGACGGATTTACGACCCTGACCAACCGACGGGGTTCAACGTGAGAATGACAGCAGCCAACGCAGAAGGGATTTACGACCCCCGACGTCTAGGATGCTGCCATGCCTAGCCAGCGCACCTTCCGGACGGTCTCACGGACTCACTCATGGGTGACAAGCTCCGACAGCTCACCAAAGAGCGTTTTGAATTTTGTTTTTTGTTTCAGCTCACCATGGCTCTACTCATTATGGTTGCGTCAACAACTTTACAGTTGCCGACGGCCGGGGAGAATGTTGGAAATCCTGTCAGCTGACAGGTCCCTCACACTAACGCACGCAAGGCTCATCCATTCTCTCCCCACTCACGCACACCTGACGCGCTCACCTCAGATGACCGGGGGTTGTTAATTCGGACACCTGAGGCGCCACGTCCTGGACAGCTCCTTATTACCATATGATCTATATTAAATTAGGTCAGGTGACCATCGAATTAGGGCACGTGGCACCTGTAAGCCCGTGTCTCTCTCTCATTCGTTTCCGGGATCTAGTTAGAGACACTTCTTTTATTGTACTGCTCTTCTCTAGTGACTCGGGTTAACTCATTGTATCAGCTCAATTATTACCAATTCAATGAATTAGTCGGCTCATTATTATCGGTCCGCTCATTATTACGGTTGCTCAGTGACTCAATCTCTAGTGACTTATTTATTGTGAACATTTTCTTTGACAAATACAGTGAATTTGTGACCACGTGCACGTGTTCCGCTCATTTCTTGGTTCTACTCATCCCACTCCCCGTAATCCGACTCCAACTCATCCATCCGCACAATTAATTCCCCGATCCAGGCATCTCATCAAACAGATAACCTCGCTAATTATCATTACAAAAGATCTCTCTGGAGATTTCCACTGCTCACCGGGATATCCAAAACTCAAAATAATTCAGCACACAGGCGCCAGTAAATCTATAATCCCCTGAAGAGGTAGAATTTCCAAACTCCGATAAATTACTTCTTAATTTTTACACAACAGTTCCAGAAGCTCTACAGGTCTCGATGCCGTCCAAACTAGAAGTGTCGTTATCACAATGCTAACCGACTCGTCAGCTTCTCCTTCAACAAATCAGTCATATGATTGGCTTGGACACCATCGATTGTCCGCTCTGGTTGGTTAATACTATCCAACTCAACCAAACCCAACAGCAACACATGTGTCAATTCACGTTCACCACAATCAACAACGACGTGAGTTCTCCAAAATTCATGACACATTCTACTGGGGAAAATCATCCAATGATTTTTCCACAATTAACAATGATTTTGCTGGACGTCTAACGTCAGTCCAGTCCTTCTCCTCTAATCGACAAGTTCGTCACCTGAATCCCAACTTCCGGTCCAGTATGGAGAGTAATCCGCCATGCTTCATATTCCTAGCCAATGCCAATGTTAGCAACGCCACTCGATCTTCCACATAACTCCCTCCACCGCGGGAACCATTCGACCAATTTGAATGTAACGTGGTTCGATAATCGTGTTTGACCTCGGGGACTCCAGGGTTCGCTACTTGCGAATGGAATTTCATCTCCAGTTCCTTATAAATTTCCAAGGCTCCAAATCCCTCGATATCGTCCAATGAGCAGTGAGCACAGAAAGAGGAGAGAGAGAGAAAGAAGATAAGGAGTTTATTGTTTAGAAATTTAAACAAATTGTTGTAGAGAGAGATAGAGAGAGAGAGAGAGAGAGAGAGAGAGAGA